AGAGGTATGTAATTGCTTGTTGTCAAATTGTAATTAATGGGTCATATTGTAATTCCATGATTATGTTCTTGAGCAATAACCAGGATGTTTAACATTTATATCATTCATATACAAGGGCTCCATATCCTCACCCACATCTATTATTTTTGTCTCCTTGATTATAACCAGTATATTCAAAAGAGTATCTCACCATGTTTTTTGGTTTTTGTTTTGGTACCAGGGATTGAACTCATGACCTTGTGGTTGTGAAGCAGGAGCGGTGCCACTGAGCTAAGTCCCTGGCCCTCATCATGGTTTTGATTTTCCATCTTCTAATGACTAATGGTGTTCAGTATTTTTTCAGGTGTGTATGAGCAATATGTTTATCTTCTTTGTAGAAAAGCCAGATCAAGTTTTCTGTCCACTTTTGAATTGGTTGTTTGTCTCTTTATTCTTGTATTATAAATGTTCTTTATACATTTTGGATATGAAACACATGCCAAATGTGTGATTTGCTAATATTTACTCCCATTCTGGATGTTTTCTTTTCATTTATTTTGACAATGACCGACCAAAACCTTTTAAGGTACGGTTTATTTTTGTTGTTATTGTTCATGTTTTTTATGTCATTTCAAAGAATCTCTTGCCAAAACCAAGATCATAAAAAACAATTCCTGCTGCATATGGAGGCCCATGGATGCAATCCCAGTTACTCAGGAGATTGAAGCAGGAGATTGAAGCAGAAAAATGGCAAGGTGGACACCAGTCTGTACCACTTGGTGAGACCCTGTTTCAAGAAAAAAAGAGCTGGGGTGTAGCAACATGGTAGAGAACTTGCCTGGGATAAACAAAGTCTTGAGATCAACCTCTAGTACTGCAAAAAAAAATTCCTATATTTTAAAAAGAATTTTATGGTTTCAGCTCATATTTAGGTTATTGATACATTTTGAGTCCTTTGTGTATATAGTGTGGGTGGGGTTCAACTTCATTTTTTTTTACATGGGGAAATCCAACTGTCTCAACAACATCTGTGGGAGAAAATACTCATACCTGTTTTAATAAACTTGGCCTTGTTATTAAAATTAAATACCTGTAGTAGTACATATTCGTTTCTCTGTATCCTATCCTATTGGTCTCCAAGTCTATTGTTATGCTAAAATAAAAGTGATTTGATTATTGTTGATGTTTGGAAAGCTTTGAAGTGAGAATATGTGAGTTCTCCAAAACTTTTTCTTTTTCAAGATTATTTTCAGTATACTAGTGGTCCCATGTAAATTTATGATTTTAAAGATGGATTTCTCCACTTTTTAAAAAAGAAGGTTGTTGAGATTTTGGTAGGTTAGAAATTAAATATGTAGATCAATATTAATGTTCATTAATATGGAACATGAACAATTCATATATATCCATGTGTATGGGTTGCTTTGCCATCTACTTCAGATGTTTTGAATTTCTTTCATCTCATATTTGTAGTTTTCAGTCCTTTACTTCTTCATTTACATTTATTCCTAATTATATTATTCTTTTAACATCATTGTAAGTGGAATCTTTCCCCATTCATTTTTGGATGACACATGGTTTATGTATAGAACTACAACAGATTTTGTCTGTGGCTTTTGCAAGCTGCAATTTTGCTGAACTTCTTCATTATTGCTAATAGTTTTCATGTTGATACTTTGAATATTTTCACTTCTATTTTAAATTGGATGACTTTCTTTTTCCCAAACTATGAGAAGTAACAGTGGGAAAATATGTATTTTTAGCTTCCTGATCTTAAGGATGAAGCTTTCAGTCTTTTGCCACTAGAAGGTGTGTGTAATGTTACTATGTTGTTAAAACATGTTTTGTTTTTTTTTTAGCTTGAGGAAGTTCCTGTCTATGACTAGTTTTCTGAGTGTTTGTGATCATAAAAGAGTGCTGAATTTCAAGTGAAATGCTTTTGCTGAATCAATTGAGATACCATGTGTGTTTTTCTTCTTTCTATATTTGGTGTATCATACTGAGTTTTGTTGTTGTTGTTTCAGTACTGGAGATCAAGCCCAAGGGTCTAACCACTGAGATACATTTCAAAACTTATTTTTTATTTTGAAAGCAGAGTCTTGCTGAGTTTCCTTGGTAGAACTAAAAATTGTAATCCTCCTGCTTCTTCCTCTCAAAGTACTGGGATTATGGCATGCACCAGTGTGCCCCACACTGATTTTCTCATGTTGAATCACCTTGCATCATGGGGATATATTTCACATACTCACGGTGTTTACCTTTTCAATATGCTGTTGAATTTGATAAACTAAAATTGTGCTGAGGATTTTGCATGTATACTTTTCAAGAATATTGATTTCCAATTTATTTTGTTATAAAGTCTGTATCTGCTTTGAGCATATGGGTAGTGCTAAACTCAGGCAAGGAGTTAGAACGTGTTCTCCATTTTTGAAAGGGTTTGAGAGAATTGGAAGTAATTCTTTTTAATATTTGTTATAATTAAATATTAGAATCAAATTCAGGATCTTTATTTTCTTGGCTGATTTTTAGAATTTTAAGCACTGCTTTGATTTTTTTACTTATTATAGCTCTGTTCAGATTTCTCTTTCTTCTTGAGTCTGTACAGTTATTTGTGTTTCTAGAAATTTAAGCATTTTATCTGTTACTTAATTTCTTGGTATACAATTGTTCCTAATATTCACTAATATTCTTTTCATCTCAGTGAGGTTGATAGTTTTAAAATTTATGTCTTCTCCATTTTTATCACTGTAACAAACTGTCAGTTTTGTTAATGTTTTGAAATAATCAGTGTCTTTTTTTGTTTTTTGAGACAGGGTCTCACTATGTAGTTCAGGGTGGCCTTGAACTCACTGTGTAGCCCAGGCTGGCCTTAAATTCACAGCTTCAGCATCCAAGTACTGGGATTATAGGCATGCACCAACATACCTAGCAAATGATCAAGTTTTGAATTCAGTAATTTTCACTATTGGTTTTCTATGCTCTATATTATTTATCTCTCCTCTTTATTATTTCCTTCTGCTTGCTTTAGTTTTAGTTTTCTCTTCTTTTCATGTTCCTTGTACTGTAAAGTTAAATCATTGATTTGATGGAGAGCAAAACATTGCATTATACCACATAAATATATACGATATTTTGTCATTTAAAAATAAATTAATTTGGTTTAAAAATAGTTATTATTGTGTCTTTCATTTTTTTAATCATTTTTAATGTAGGTGTTTTTTACTTTTAGTTTCTTTCTGTCCACTCAGATGCATTTGCTGCATTCCATATATTTATATATTATATTTTTGTTTTCATTTTTTTATTATTTTGCATAGTATATATATTCTTCCATCCACTGTTTATTAAGTAAGTGTTGTTTAATTGTCATTGTTTAGTCATTTCACAATATACATACATGGTAAAGTGCACCATATATATGCAATTTTATTTGCCAATTAAAAGGTATTTTAAGTATGAGTTTTAAAATTCCCACATATTTGTGAATTTAGCAATTTTTCCCTGTGGCAAATTTACTTTAGTAGTGTTTTTTGATTACTTGGTTTGTTATTCACAGAATGAAGAATCATTTACTAAATGCTGATGGAACACTTGTAGTTGAAAATTCACAAACCCAAATATAGATAAAAACCTCAACCCTTACTAAATTATACATTTCAGTAGAGTGAAGAATTTATGATTGTAATGTTACATGATTTAAAAATAGACTGCATCTAAAGATACTATTTCTGTGACTTGCAGTCTATTGCTCATAGAATGAGTAATTCTGCTAGTCTACAGTTCTGAGAATACCCAACTGTCATTTACATGTACATTACATCTACAGCTTAGGAACTCAAGGATCATGAAGAAAGAGAGACAACCTGAACCCCAAAGCTATCTTCATCCTAAGTCTCTGGTTCTTAGGTCTCCTCATTCCAAATCTCTGATCTCAGTCATCTGGGGACCATAGAGAATTCCCTACTGTAGAGATAACTGTGAGGACAATGAGAATATATATGGGTCCCTCCTCTCCAAGATGTTCCGTGTACACCAGCCATGAGGCACATGATGAAAACCATAGAGGCACCAGCCATGATCAGAGGTCGAGAGTAAAATATACACAAAAATGTGTAAAGATGAAAAGAAGCAAGAAAAGAGAGGTAGAGATAGGGAAGAGACAGAAGGGACAGAGGGAAGTAAGTAAAGGGGAAATGAGAGAAAAAGATGAAAATCAAGAGCCAAGGGAGAAGAAAAAGTGGCCTCTTATTACACTCTCTCCAGTGTCTCTCATTATCTAGTCTTTTGTTCCCATTCCCTGTCTCCATCTCTGCTTCTCTGTCCTTGTGTAAATCACTCACTGTCTAGAAATTTCAGCCTCCATCTCTCAATTTCTCTGGCTCTCCCCTTAGGTCTTTCTAGCACTCGCTAGTCTTCATTACTCTGCACTATTTTTTCTCTTTCTCTTCTCCCTCATCTCACTGGCTGCCTGTAAGATCATTTTCCTTTCACAACTCTATAGGGATAGGCCTGGCTTTGTTGAGGAAGAGAGGGGCTGGGAGGTTCCTAAGAACTCTTGGTCCCTTTACCTTTCCAGACAGTAAAGCATGGCAAGTTTATACCAGAAAATGTAAAAGAAAAAGGGGCCTCAGTGAAACTCACATCTGTCTCCTGTAACTTAGAAATTAATATGATTACATTCACTAATGTCACCACCTCCTCACTATGTCATAATAATTATTAGTGAGAGACCCATCGTGGTAGATTAGAGTTACCAAGGCACTCCAGTTGATTGGAGAACACTCACCAGGATTCAAAAGTACTCAGGAATAAGGCAATCACAAGGAAAATGTGGTATCTACACATAATGGAATACCTCTCAGCTACTAAAAATGACAAATTGGAGATGTCTGTTGGAAAATGGATGCATCTAGAAAATATAATGTTGAGTGAAATAAGTCAGACATACAGGCTTAAATACCATATGCTATCTTTCATTTGAGTAAGGCAAAGTACAAAGAGCAAAATAAAGGAGAGATAGAAGGAAACAAGCAGAAAGATCTCCTGCAAATGGGAAGGGATTCAGGAGACTGAGGGCAAGGGGAAAAGAGGAGGGGCAGGGGAGGTAAGAAATATTAAGATATGCCATGTATATGAACCAAATAACCACAATGAATGGAAACATTACATGTCATAAACATGAGGTAAAAAGAATAATAATAGGGCTCATCTTTTCATCTCATTCCCAGCATAGCTAGAGATTTGGCCCTTAAAGACTTTTAGAGCCCAGAGTGTCTAGACAAGGGTGTTGGTGACTAAATTGTGGTTTCTCTCAGCACCCCTGGAAAGCCTTAATGATATACTGCCTTTATTTTCCACATTAAGTTTGAGAATTATGTGAATTGATACTTGTTCTCCTCTTCTCCCTCCTTACAGTAGGGCAAAGGCCTACTAGCTACTGTACCTCACGCAAGAGGCATATCTCATTGGTAAAACCCTCTAGCTCCAGTCCCTCCTTCTACTCTTGACTCTTTCTGAGAAGGAATATTGAGCTTGAAGAACTGAAGTTTCCCACCACAAAGAGGCTTGGAATGCAATTCCCAAAGGTGTATGCAGGGAGACCTCTGATAAAAATTCTAAGCACCACGAATTCCAAGTATCAGTGATCCAAAGATTTTGAGTCCAAGGTTTAGGAATCTGAGATTCCAAGATTTTGAATTTTAGACTCAGTAGTCGTAGGATCTGATAATTTTGTTACTCCACAACTCTTAGATTTCTTGAGTAGAGGTTGATGAAGCCCCTTAAGGAGATGTGCACATGGATGAATGTAGTTTGACTGCGATGCTGGGTTGTTAACCCACATGGTAATAATGTGTGTCAATGGGTTCATCCTTATCTTCATTTTAGTGAGCAAGAGGAAGCCCCTTCATAGAGCTTATGTTGTAAGACATAGATAAAATAAATTCAGAAATATAACAATCATAGCTTATTATGAATCCTGTAGGATTCTGAGAGCAGGAGACACCTTCCCTTTCTTTTATCTATATCACATTCCTTATAATGGGGTGAGTTCCCTATGTGTGTTTGGATGGGTAAGCTCGCGTGTGCACACAGAATTGTAGAAAGACAGAGATCCAAGGCTGATGGATACAGCTGTTCAGACTATGCACTACCGAAGCACATCACACCATAAGGGATTTATAGTAACTCATTAGAGACCAGGCAAGAGATTTTCAGACTGTCGTCTGGGTTTTACAGCTGGTCCTAGATCCATCGGAGATCCCAACCCTTAGGACACCATGACATGATCTGTGTTCATGCATATCCTGAAAAGAACATGCAGTCATACACTTGTGTCCAATTATGTCCATGAATACATTCATGGCTATGCAATGTCTGACCCAATGTTTTCCTGGCCTTCTCTGGAACTGTTTTTCTCCCTCAGACACATAATTGAGAGGCCCGATTCCAGCTCCCCAGACTGACTCTAGGTGTCCACAAGTGGGTGAGAGTGGGGGTAAGTGTGTGGTGAAGCCAAGTCATCTGGCTGCCAGGGCTCTAGAAAGAAAGGAAGAAAGAACCCAAACAAACCCTGGACCAGGCTCTTCAGGTTGTGTGATCATACACTTAGCTCTTATTTTTTTGTTGAAGGGGAGATTTTTTTTTCTTGCAGTACTGCAGCTTGAACCCAAGACCTTTCCACCAAGCTACATCCTCAGCCCCTCTCCCCTTCTAAAAATAATAGATCTTGCTAGTGACTAAGTTGCCCAGGTTGGGTTCAAACTTGCTCCTGCCTCAGCCTTCCAGATTTCTGGGATTACAGATGTGCATCACCACACTAGGTTAAAGGTTGACTTATAAAAATCTGCCCCAAGTACAATGGGCACAGACCTGTGTTCAAGTATTTACTGGGCACTTATGTTCTGCAAGACAATGGCCACTTAAACTGTCTAAAACTCAGCTCCGTCACCTGTAAAACAGGCATGAACACTTCCCCTTTGCATGAGTTTGTGAGCACTGAGATCGTGTTCTGCTTTCAGCAGAGCTGACAGAGAATACTTAATAAATAATAGCTGTTATTATTGTTATTATTACAGCACAATGTAAGGCTTCCCTTTGCTCCTCTCAGCTTTGAAGGATCTATCTTTAGCAAGGTGAGGCATCTGTTGTTTCTTCGCTCTTGCCTGTGCCCCAGGCCCCTTTATTTCCCTTAGTCCCATCCTACCCACTAGCCACACCCACTAGGCCCTCCCCGCCCTCCCTTCCCGTCCCCGCCCACTCTCTCTGCCTTGGCCCAGTCCTGATTTAGCGGAGCTGGAAGCTCATGGTGTAGTTTGGTGGGATGGTGGCAAAGCCCACAAGTTTGGGAGACACATCGATATCTTGGGGCGCCTGTGGGGACTTGAAGCGGAAGTTCTGCAAGATGGTGGTGAGGAAAAGGAAGAGCTCCATTCTAGCCAGGCCTTCTCCAAAACAGTACCGCTTTCCTGAAGAAGAGAGGACGAAAGAGCGCTGGTGAAACCAGGTCTCAGTGAAGCCTCCCCTCAATACTGAGGCCCAGCTACATGGTCCCAGGAAGGAGGGGCTGCAATACTGTGGCCTGAGAGGCCTTCCCAGAAGCCTGCAGTTCTCTCAGAGCGTCATTTCTCTTGTGAGGTAGGGTGATTGACGTCAGGCTCTAGCAACAGGAAGTTTAGATGCCCCTTTCCTCCAAATATACTCTTAAGTATGGCTGCTGTGCTCCCATCTCTTTTCTAAGAGTCTGAAGAATTGGTTGTGTATCCTTGGAAAAATCTAACTCACCCTGCTCCTTCATTTTCTCCATCTCTAAATGAGGTTTGATCATCCCTTGCCTTTTTCCTGGGTGCAAATACACGGCACTTCTTAGAAACTGGGGTTGCAGGTGATTGCCTGGACAGTAGATTCCAAGAGGAACTTCCCAGCTAGAGTAAGACACAGGCTGCACCTTACATAGGGACCCCGAAATAAGCTGTCCTCAATGGTATGAGCAGTACGTGAGCAGCAAATAATGGACTCTTACCAATGGAAAAGGGCACAAAAGCGTCACTCTTCTTAAACTGACCCTTCTCGTCCAGGAAGTGTTGAGGGTGGAAATCTTGGGGGTTGGAGAAGAACTGGGGGTCTTTCAGCACAGAGCCCAGCATAGGGAACACTTCAGTGCCCTGGCAGGGAAGAGGAGGTTTGAGAGATAAGGCGATTTGAGGGGTGAATGTGTTGAAAGGTGTTAGAGCGCCCCATTCTGGAGAAAAGGGGAAACACAGGGTTGGCACCTGAGGTGAGCTCTGGGGGATGTCTAAATCCCCGAGACAGGAGTTGAATCCTCTGAAGCATGAGGTGTGGGGGAGACACGGGATACAGTGGTCTCTGGATGCAGAGGATAAGGAAATATAGTGCTTGAGGAATTCTTTGGTTGAGGGATTCGGACATGGGCTGGGAAGGTTCTAATGAGGATAGGGTGCTAGAGTCCCAGGGAATGGATCACTGGTCACTGTAGGCTGGCACCTTAGGGAGGAGGAAGTCTCGAAACTTGGTGTCCTTGGTGACCCTGCGAGCCAGGCCCATGGGGATCATGTCTCCGAATCTTTGGATCTCATGGATCACTGCCTCTGTGTAGGGCATCTTGGCCCGGTCTTCGAACTTGGGCTGACGATTCTTGCCAATCACTCTGTCAATTTCCTCATGGATCTTGGCTGGAGGAGAAGGGTGAATGTGCTTTGGTAACCAGGGGGTCTTGGTGCAGATGATACATAAAACTGGATGCATGACAAGTACCTATACACACAAGGATGTAGACCCTCAAAACAGATGTTGCCATACATATTGCTGGAGCAGGGTCCTGTTAATCTGATCATGCCAAGATCATAGATGAGTCATAAGGAAGGGGATGGCCTGAAACATGGGGAAGCTAGCAGTGGGCTTAGCACAGAATAGATTTACTAATCAGTTCACACACTGCCATTATTTTATCAACTAGTGAGACTCAGCTTCTTCCTATCAGCTGAATAATGCCTTGTCTCTGCACAGGAGGCTGTGAGTGTCCAGGGACCTGGAAGGAGTGGGGTCATTGTAGCAGGTTTAGAGGAGTTTGGAGGATCTGTAGTCCCCACTTCCCTGCTCCTTCAGTCTTACCCTCCACATCTGGGTGCTTCATGAGCAGCAGGAAACCATAGCGCAGGGTTGTGCTAACTGTCTCTGTGCCGGCAAAGAAGAGGTTCAATGTGGTCATTACCAGGTTCTTCATGTAGAACTCTGTGTTAGGGTTCTTATTCTCCTGCAGGGAAAGAGGGCTTCAGGTCAAGCCTATTCCCAATGCTTTTGGGCCCCTTGGGGGATTTCCTTTGACCCACTTCTCTTAGATACAGAGCTAAGGTGGCACTAGGGACCCTTGATCTACCAAGCTCTCTCCAGTTTCCAGGCCTTTAACCAGGCTGCTGGTCTCTGCCTGAAATGATCTTCCATGATCTTCATGTGGGTGACTCTCTGCCGTTTAATGATCAGCTTAGTTGTCACTTTTTTTTTGTTTGTTTGTTTTTGGCTGTACCAGGGATCAAACTCAGGGGATTGCACTTGCTAGGCAGATGTGGTACCACTGAGCTACATCCCCGGCCCAGTTGTCACTTTTTAAATGGTAGGAATATTTAGAAAATGAGGGTTAGGGAACTGCTGTGAGAAAGATGGACAGAGATGTCAAGGTAGAGTGAGTCAGTGAGAATATGAGACAGTTTTACTGAGACAGATACAGAATTTTAAGTGACAGCAACCTTTCCTACACTAAATATCTTGAAGCTTCTTGTGAAGCTTCTCTCTTCTTTTGATCCTTTGAATTTTATACTACATAAAACTTCATCTCCTATCTGCACAAATGGAAGACTGAGGGGAGACAAGGGTGAAGACCTTCCATTGTTACACCTGTAAAGACAGACCACCTGTCTAAACTGGTGTGTCTGATGACTAGAATCAGAGACCAGGTCTCAGCTAGAGCTCACTGATTCCTTCCTTCCTTGTGACCTCAGGAAAGCCACTTATACTCCTTGGTCTACAGTTTCCTCATTTATAAAATTTGAATCATAGTAACAGAACCTTGTTGAAGATTTGTTTTGGTTGGAAAATGCCACAAGCACTTACAATAATGCCTGGCTCATAGCAGTGCTGTATAGGTGGTTGCTGTTATAATTTGCATGCACAAGATCTACCTGTACATAAGGCCCAGGAGATGGAAAAATGGTATTTCCCTGTGACTGGGATGGTGAGGATTATTATGATGAAGGCTCTTTTGAATGGGTCCCTGCTCTCCCTCCTTGATTCCCATCTACCAGGCTTTGGACCTCCCCACCCTGGCTGTTGGGTGTACCTCCTGCATGCGGATAAGAAAGGAGTCGATGAAGTCCCTTGGGGAGTTGGGGTCCAGTGTGCGTTGGTTCTGCTTCACCTTCTTGGTTATGAAGTCTTCAAGCCCCTGAAGCTCTTTAAAGGCCTGTTGCTGTGGTCCAGGCAGGTGCTTCATTACTGAAGAGAACATCTCATAGAGCTGGAGGTTGTGAGGGAGAAAGCAAAGATGGCTGTCAGTGGGCAGGAACCAGTGGGAATAAAAACTGGAAGGGCAAGGAAAACATGGGAATCAAGGCCCTTGTCCAGGTAGTTAGTATTTAGGTGAGATTGGATGGCACCGTAAAGGTAAATTTTCATAGGGGTTAAGTATGAAGACTATTGTCCAAGGGTTTAGGTGAGATGGATTGGCATACATGTATTGGATTCAGGTATTCAGGTAAAGATGCACTGGAAGTTATCTCGTTGCTGAGATTTTCTGATGGGACTCTTGTGATGGGTCACCTGTTTAATGTGTTTAGGCATTCAGGAAAGTGCAACTGTAAAGCTCAAGCTGTTAGTATATTTATGGGATTTGGATTGGGGATTTCTAAAATGTGTTCAGGGATGAAAGTAGTGCTGGTGTTCAGGTGTGAAAGTGAGAGGAATAACTGTTCACCTATTTAGGATTCACATGGGCTGCATAGAGGGATCTTTTCGTATATGTGAATGAGTTGTGTTAAATGATGCTTTTTTTTTGGTGTTTGGAGAACATTCTGCCCTGGATATTTATATGTGGAGTCTTGGTTTTAGTACCTGTTCACGTGTGTAGGCATTTAAGTGTCTATCTTGCCCACAGGTTCTCTTTTGAAGCATCTTGAGATATCCGGGTGCCTCGGGTTCTGGTGTAACTGCTGTAGTGTTGCTCAGTGAGAGACCATTGGAGGGGACTTGGGGGACACACCCGTGGCTCTGTGAGGATGTAGTTGGCAGGTTGTGGCAGGGGTGTGCTAGGGCCATCAGGTTACCTGTCCGGTGGAGGTAGCTGTGAACTGGAAGCTCCCCAGCATCATACGCAACAGAGACAGGAACTCTTTGTCCTGGTACTCAAAGCGGTCCCCAAAGACAATGGAGCTAATGACATTGGAGACTGTTCTGCTCAGGTAGAAGGTGGGATCAATGAATGCGCCTGCAGGGGTGGGAGGGAGGGAGTGGGGACAGTCAGAGGGCGGGCTGGTGCCTGTCTGATAATTAGAGGCAGATACAGCACTGCAGCGATGAGCCAAACTCCTGGCGCCAGGCCCCAGAGCAGGGAGCTCTGACCCTCTTCCCCTACCTGGTCCCCAGCCCAGAATGCGCAGACCCTGCCCTTCCAGAAGTTTCCCTTTCCCTCCAGCGCCGCACTCCCGCGTCGCCGGCTCACCGCTCGTGTCCCGGAAAGCTTGGATGAGGAAGCCCGCCTCCTCCTGGATGCGCTCCTCGATGCCGCGCTTGCCCATGCCGAAGTCCCGCAGCGTGGTGATGGAGAAGCGCCGGAGTTGCTTGGCGCGCTCTCCGTTGCTGAACGCAACACCTGGGGAGGTGAGCGCCGCCAGGGGAAAGGGAATTGTCAGAAAGGAGGGTGGGAGGGAGACACAGACCACCACCCCGAGGGGCTCTGGGAAAAGTGTGGGTTTGTGCAGAGATGGAGGGAGTGGAAGAAAGATGGATACAGAGCCAGAGAGCTACACCGCTAGGGACGCACACAGATTCGAGGTGAGAAACCTATAGAAAGAGACAGAGACCACAGAAGACAAGTAGAAGGGCGTATGTGAGTGGCAAGACCGGGCCAGGAGAAGCAGAGACTTCAAACAAAAGGAAGGAAAGAATGAGAGGGGAGGGGCTGATGACAGAAAAAGGGAAAGTGAGATCGTCCAGACCTGGGAGTGGAAATAAAAACTGTGAAGGATTTCAAACTGAACTGGAAAAGAAAGAAAAACAGGGAGAGAGAAACAGAGGGCCTGGAAAGAAGAGAGATTGTTGCCAGGAGATAGAGGAAAGGGGATTTGCAAGCAGACATTTTGGGAGATTCTGACACAGAGAACAAGAAAGAGAGAGAGAAGGAAAGGCAATCATAGGAAAGCACAGGAGCCTAAGACAGAAAGAAAGATCAAATAAAGTTAGAGGAGAAGGAAACCAACAGGATCTCTAAGAGATGGATAGATCAGGGAAGGAAGAGACTTCTATTTGAGAACAGCGTGTGTGTGTGTGTGGGGGGGCAAGGCAGGAAGAAATTAGGCACAGAAACTCTAAGGCCAGAGACAGACACGTTAGAGGTGACAATGAACAGGCATGTGGAGAGAAGACAAGACTCTCCATGGCCTTGAACGGGCAGGGGAGTTAGTGGGAAAGGGTGGGGGAACTGAGACTACCATCTTCCTGGACACATCTGCCCACGTGGTGGCCGCCTTACCGTAGCCTTTGAAGATCCAGTCAAAGGTGGCCTGCTCTCCTCGCCCACTGAATTCCTCAGCTTGATCCACTAGAGCCTCCTTTACTGCATCCTGTCCACACAGCACCACAACCCGGCGAGGCCCCAGGTGGATGGTGAACACAGGGCCATAGCGCTTGCTGATCTGATGGGAGTGGGGAGAAGTAATTACTTCAGGGCCACTATCTGGACTGACCCAGTACCCAGAAGTCAAGTACTGGGCTATATTTCTTCCAGTCAAGGGACTGAACATCCTGCTTAAGACCTGGTTGCTGAACCTTTGAAACTACCTTATCCTAAGACTCGGGTTCACCCTCACCAGTCCTCTGCCACAAATCCCTAGCTAAATCGGCCCCCGCCCACAACCCATTTCACCCATCCCCATGCCTGGTGACACCTTCATGAGGGAGTTGTACATCTGCTCTGTGTTTAGCTGCAGGAAGTTTCCAATGAAGGGCAGTGGGGTGGGTCCAGGAGGCAGCTTTCCCCAGAGCTTCCTCTGCCGCCAGATGGACATCAAAATCATTACAGTTAGGCAGGTCAGCAAAGCCACCACAAGCAACCCTGAGGTCAGCATGGTGACAGTGAGGGTAACAGACAAATGGTGATGGCTGAGATGGTTTGCCTTTATACTCCCTGGGAGTGATGCTTGGCCTTTGGTCCTGATTATATAATTGTCACATTTCACCTCCTAATAACCCTTCATCCCAAGCACTCCACCCAATTTGGCTCAGAGCCTGGAAATAAGGAGGAAGGAACATCTGAGCACAGTAACAGGGAGTAGCTGCTATACTGCATTTGTGGCACCTGTGCAGGAAGTACCCCAAGAGGTAGGGCCAGTAGATAAACTCTGGAATTGAAAATTTTGGAATATTTACACATGGGGGCTTCTGAGCTTTGAATGAGGGGTCTTAGAGTGAGAAAGCCCCCACAGCATGGGTTTTAGAGTCTCAAAGGAGATGAATCCTAACGTCTTAGTTTCATTGACATAAAACATGATGTGTGGCTGTGGATTTGGGAGTCTTTTAATGAGGAAGGACATCGGTTTTAAAGGTCCCAGGAGAGGAAATTCCAAGGGTATGGATTTAAGAGTCCTTCTGTAAGAAGGAACCAGAACTGTGGATGCAATAGAGTTCTCAGAAAAATAAGTATATGAACGATCAAGTCCATCAGGATCCTGGAGTGAGTGCCTGAGTCCAGGTATGTTGACCTGCTTGACTTTGGCCTGGTGCTGTCCCTTGATCCGCAGAGTCCTCATGGGAGCCTCAAATTGAGGCCAGGATGGACACCATAGAACTTACAATCTCCACTGCTTATGTGTGTCTGGGAAGAGGGTGGAAGATCTGAGTCGCATTTCAGTGACACTTTGCACAGAATTAGAGAAAAACAACTCATGGTCGCAGTTGGCACAGGGACTGACCAGGCCTTAGCAAAGAATAATAACAACCACCAAAGTAGTGGAAAATCCCAATTGTTCTGAGAGTTCTACTCAAAAAGAGCCCACTGGGCTACCCAGGTCCTTAGGGAAGCTAACTGGGTTCACCAAATCATTTCTATGATTGTTATTGTTATCATGAATATTTCCTATTCATAGATGTGTGCATTAAAGGCATAACAGAGAGGGCAGAAAACACATATATGAGAGGCCCTTAAAGGAAGGGGCTTAAACTCTTGTCTCTCCTACTGTGTTTCCCCTTTCTGGACTTTGGTTTCCTCACCTAAGCAAAGGGAACATTTTGGGAACTGAAAGTCAAATTTGAAAGTGTGCTTAATCTCCTTTACAGGTGATTCTTGGTTTGTCCAGGCCTGTAGTTAGCAGGCAGAGGTAATTCTAGCAGAAGAGACTTAAGCAAACACCACTGTGGAGAGAAATGAAGTGGACCTTGTGACATAGAAGATCAGGTAGAAAAGGGACGAGGGGCTCTATTGTCTTTTTTTCACTGCAATTTTCTCTCAAAATAAGAATGATTATCTTTTGGTGAGCTTGTTGAATTCTAGGAAGATTATTAAATCTACGTGTACATGATTTTTTGAATTTTGTAATGATAGTACTGCCTTATAAAAAGTGAGGGAGCTAGGATTTAAATTCTCCCCTTCTCCTTTCTCTTGGCCTAGCTCACCCAGGGGTCTAAATGAGGACAAAACTTAAGAGGAGGTTGATGCTGAGATTGGCATCAGCAGTGGATTACACTGCAAGGTGCCGATACCAGTATCGGGTAGACCTAGGGACGGGGGCGTCAGACTGGCATTGAGATTGCCTCTAGGTATGTACTATACTGGGAATGGAGAAGAAGATGGCACCAAATTTGACACCAAGAGAATATTAGTAGAACCACCTATGGTGCCAAAATGATTCTGAGAGCAGCCCCAGGTGGCCATTGAAGTTACCTTCAAGAAAATCTAAGCTGGCACTTTACTGGCTCTGAAGTTGGTCCCAGAAGGTTCTGACATTAACATTAGGTAAGTGCTGTTATTAGGCCTTTGTGGACTTGAGATGGACCTCAGATAGACCCTAGAAAGGGCCTTATGTGGGTACTGGGCAATGGATGAGCTTTGATGGTTACACTTCCCAGTGTTGCATCCTGCTTCAGGGCCTCTAACTTTGGACAAGTGGAGGTAGGGGAGGTTGGCACTCCCAGGACTTATCTTGCTCCACCTGTTCCAGTCTGTTGGATTTTGAGACCTGTGGGTAGGGAACAAAGCAGAGACACAAGTTGTTTGTTGGTATTGGTGTTGGTTTTGGAGGAGAAAGAAGTAGAGAGGAGGATTAGCACAGGCTTGGCAGGTATTAATCCCCTAATCTTGATTACCAGCCTGCACCTGGGTTGGCCCTAGGCCCTGGCCTTTATTTTCTTGAGTAGGAGAGAGGGAGAAATTTGAAGAACTTGTTACTCAGGGAAGTTGGCACCAAAAGGGCCTTGAGTGTTTAGATAGGTTCCCATGGGCTTTTGGGGGTAGAGGTAGAATGGGAGAAGTACTTGGGGCTGCAGAGGTCAAGTGTGTTTGTCCTTGGTGGTTTTCCTGAAACATGGGGTAAGGGATCAATGTCTGAAAGGGAGGGCCACGGGCTAGTGGCAGTGTCTTGGGACATGGTTGGAGAGTGATCTAGTGGTGAACCCAAGAAATTTCCTTCCCCCTGTTTCACCTCTGTTTCCTTTTCTGGATGGGTGGTTAGACCAAGGTTAAGGCATGAATCGGAGACCTAGCCTTATGGCTTTTTTTTTGTAATCTTGAAGAGGTGACTAATTTGAGCCCTATGAGGTTCAGGACATCTCTTTCTTAGTTTACTGTGGTGAGGTGTATATAAATTAATTCATGCTTAGTACAAATCAGAAAATGCACAGTAAATGTTAGCTACTTTATTCATTTATTGTTATTAGATCTTATTAATTTGGAAGATAGAAGAAATGGATGGGAGTTCCTCTAGGCCAGTGATGGTCAACGTTTTTGAGATGAGTGCCCAAACTGCAACCAAAACCCACTTATTTATTGCAAAGTGCCAACACTGCAATTAAACCTGAATACTGAGGTTTTAGTTTAGAAAAAACAACTTGTACATTAGCATCTTTTGTCTTCAAAGAAGAGCAACATATGTGCCATAGGTTTGCTACCACTGTTCTAGGCCCCATCTTGGCTTTTACCTTTTCTGGCTTCCCAAAGCTTCTTTTTGGGGAAAAGGTTAATGGAGAGAGTTTTTTTGGGAAACTCCCTCCCCATCCCTTCTTTAACACAGCCAAGAATGAACCCCCCCCCCCCCCATAATCTGTGAATAGGAATGGACCTCCTAGGGTAGCCTCTTGGAAGGTTGGTGCTGCATTAGGCATATCTAAAGATGAAGGAACTCGTGTTAGACATTCAGATAGTTCTGGATGGGCCTGGAGCCCGCACAGGACTTTGCTTTGCTCGTGTCTGTCTCCCCTTGTCTGTGACTCTCTACTTGTCTTTTCTTTTTCCTTCCTGAAAGTCAGCCTTCCTCACAAGTTTTTTTGTATGTTTCTAGATGTCTGTGTGTTGGTATCATTTTGTTTAGTGGGTTCTCACAGATGCCACTGTCATGCTTCCCCTTACTTATTTGTCTTTCTGTGTGTGCATGCTCGGGCTTTCTACGTATATATGTGCTTCATTGTGTCCATGTTTATAGAGTAATTTATGTATGCACTAGTATTGGTGGGGTGTGTGTTTGTGCTTAAGTGAATACTCAGTTTATGTTCACACATGTACATCTGTGTGTCTAAGAGGGTGTGTATGTGTCCATGTCAATGTGCCTAAATGCCCGCCAGTCTTTGCATCTATGTCTATAGTTTAAATACACACATGTTTTTGATAGGCCATTTAGAGGAAGTCTACAGTGTGTATTTGTGTCCAGCCCAGTGCATGACTGTGTAGTCACATTTGTGTGTGTGCACAAGTGGATGGGTAGTTATAACCATATGGATTTTTTTTGTGTATTTTGGTGTTAATATGCATGCATGGAGGCCACGTTGTGTTACAGCTGGACATCTGATACTTGGCTATGGTTGTGTTTGAATTGAAATATAACCCTAGCCCAGTTCCATTTCTTTTCTTGAAAACAAACAATTCTTTTATTTTTACAAAGTATTTACTTTCCTTGGTTTTTAAGAGTCTTAGCAGGTGAAAAGGCTCCATGGAACAGGTGTGTCCTTGAGTGTTCCCAAAGTTGATAACTTTCCACTGGATAAATTTAAATATCCTCTCAGAAAATTGTCTTTCTCACGATATCACCTCCAATCTCCTAAGCCATTCAATGCATTTAACAGAGTCATCCAACTGAACAATGCTAATCTTGTGCCAGCTGACCAGAGAACACCGGACCTTGCCTTGATGAGAGCTCGTTCATAGGAGGAAGACAGACCCATCATCAAACAGTGACAGCTCAGAATGAACAGTGCTGTGCAGGAGAGGAATGGGCAGAAGGCCAGGGCCAGGAAGAGTAAGAGGAGGTGTCTGTAGGAACCCAGAAATGACCCTGTCAAATGTACTTGAAATACACGATCTTGTCCTAAATGAGAGGACATTCTCTCTCTCTCTCTCTCTCTCTCTCTCTCTCTCTCTCTCAGTTGAGATGAAAAAGCAAAAATAACCATTTTAAAGTGAACAGTTTGGTAGCAAAATCTTAAGACAGCCTTCTTGTTTTAAATTAAGTACTAGTATGGATAATAATGTTATCAGTTTTTTAAAGTTATTATCTTTTTGTGTGAAGATTTGATGAGCATAATCTTAATGAAGGTCACTGCAGGAAGCCTGTGAGGTTGGTTTTATGGCCGCTGACCTGTGAATGAGTTAAATAAAGCTCCCACAGTTGGAAGTTACTTGTTTTGGTTTTCACAGGTAATGAGGTTAGCAACTGAACATGCCTTTGTACCACTTTGGACTGCCCAGAGCCTCCTGTTTTGCTGTAGGAAACATTGGAAAACTGCCAAACTTCTGTGGTTCTTGAAAAACTTTCCCATAAAGCTGAAATAAAATATTCTGGATTTTCAAAAAAGTCTTTTAATAGGAGAGAGATTGACTTTCTATCATTTGTGCATTCCTGGGAGGGTTACCCAAAGAATAGGTCAAATGGTGTTGCACCCAGGCCACTGGCATTGAGGTGGTGGATGGACCTGGAGAGCCAGTTGTTGTCAGGGTGGAAAGTTTCCGTTTCAGATTTCAGAGTGAGGACCAGGATCAGGGTGTAGTTTGGGGAGTGTCAGCTGAAATGGTGTGAAGGAGAAGGCCAAAGAAAAGAAGAAAGTCAAGGTTCTTACTGTCTGGTTGTTTGGGAAGTTTGTGCTGATGGATACAGGAATGCCTCCCTACCAGGGAAATAGTAGGATGCAGAATAGGGAGAGGAAAATGAGCTTTGAGAGATGATAGGGGTGAGGGAGACAGACTTAAAGGAGGAAGGATTTTTAAAGTTATAGTTTTAATTGACAAAAAGTCTACATACTGTGGTATATAACATAATGTTTCAATATGGGTACGTATTGTGAAATGGAAAAATCAAGCTAATTAATGTAATGTATTACCTTATATTCTTATTTTTATGGTGACAGCACTCAAAATCCCTCAGAAATTTCCAAAACTACAATATGAAGATTCTTCAAAAACCAAAAATAGAAATTCCATTCAACCCAGCTATTCTCTTTCTAGGCACCCTTCTGAAAGAGTTCAAGATATCATCTTACAGTGATCCGTGCATACCTATGTTTATAGCAGCACACTTCATATTAGTGAAAACTTCAGGCCTATATGTTCATCAACAGGTGAATGGATAAAGAAAATGTAATATTTATACCCAATGGCTATTCTCCCATAAAACAGGATAAACTTGAGTCATTTGTAGGAAAATGAAGGCATCGTTAAGTGAAATAAATCAGACACGCAAGCTTAAAACATGGTTTCTCTTATATGAGAAATCCAAAATATAAATGAAAAGAAAAATAAAATATAGAGAATAGGAAGTAGTGAGACAGATCTTAAGTGGGAGGGGGATCAGGAGATGGTGGGAGAGGGGGTGGAGAGGGAAAGGAAATGAAAAAGAATTAAGAGATGGTAATAGGGAGGGGTGGAGGGGATGAGGGAGGGCAGGGGAAGGGGGAAAAACAAGAACCAAGAGTGATTATGTAAAGGTGCAAATTTCCAATGGTGAATGTCATTATATTGTATACCTAAAAGGTATCAATAAAATAAAATAAAAAGATGTGTCATGTATATACACCAGTGAATGTAATCATTGTATACTACCAACATGTACTAATAAAAAATAAAAATTGAAAAACTAAAATATATTATTTATAACAATATAGTTAAATTGCTATACAATAGATCCTCTCAACATCCCTTTTATTTAACTCATATTTGAATCCTTTGACCAACGTCTTTCCCAATTCCCCACTCCCCAGCCCCTGTAACCACCATTCTATCCCCTATTCCTATGAGTTCAGCTTTTTAAGATTCTACATATCAGGGAGATCATATGAGACTTATCTTTCAAATGAGAAAGAATATTTTTGTGAAATTAAATATGAGTGGTTTTCATCAGTTGAGCAAGTCAATGAAATTTGAAAATTGAATAAATGCAGCTATGAACAATTTTTTTTGACACTTGTGGGATCAGGCTTTAATGAATTTAAACACAAGGCACATGTTTCCAGATGTACATAAATTACAATTGCTTTTTACTTTTTTTATCTCTTAATCCTTTGGATGGGAATGAGAAAATGTTTGGTCTCTCTCATTTTGTTTTGTGTTTGTTGGGTTTTGGGGCGGGGGGGGCGTGGGTTATGAGAGAGGGTCTCACTATACAGTTCAGACTGGCCTCATATAGCCCAGGCTGTAGCCGAACTCACATCAGTCCTCCTGCCTCAACCTCCTGAGTGCTGAGATTGTAGGCATGCACCACCACTCCCAGCTTGGGTCTCTTATTTAAGGAAGAACTTCCTTAATTGGGCCTTTTTAAAAAAAGAGCTGATAGTCAGAATTTCTAGAACTTTTTGCAGTAAAATTTTTTTTGTATTTATTTTCTACCTACCTACACTAGTAAGTTGTTGTCTCCTAGATCCTAGTAAGTTTGCTATGATTAAATGATGCTTTTAATTTCTGCATCTACACAGACCTTTCTTTTTTGGTTTCTTCAAAATAGTATTCTCTTCTTCTAGTGCACCATGAAAATCCCTTTTAGCTTTTGTTTCTTCCTTATGGAATAAATGTGGGTGCTCGATGCGTCCTCTACGAATAAAATGCTGGATCTGGGATTCCAATCCTTGGCATTTAGGCCGATCCATGAGGGGCCTATATTTGTGCATTTTCAATCCTTCTACAAAGGCACTGGTCTGCTTTATGACAGAGAGCTTAATGTTTCTCCATTCTATTGTTCCATCCATGTTTGGTCCTGTTTTACAGGGTAACAAAACAGAGTCCATTCCTTGCAGCATATTATACAACATGTGACTTTTGATAGCATGATTAGCCCATAGTTGTTGTAGATAAGTAACACTGAACTCTTGAACCTCCTAATCATAGATCCACTTGATATTTTCAAACTTACAGTCATACAAGACTGAGGAAATTCTACAACCATACTATATTGAGGCTTCTGGGGATTTTTCTCTGTATTCAGCAACTCATCAATAACTTCTGGCTTCTCCATTCCTTGGCCAATCAGAAACAGGATAGCCATCATACATTGGACTTGATGATAAAGGAATGCCTGCTCAATTACTTCAAATTGACATAACTGGAAAGGTTCTTGCTATCTATCCTCACCCAGGCTCTGTCCCACTATCTTTACTTGAGCAGACAGAATAGTCCTTTGAAAATTAATCACTCCATTCGCTACATCCATTTTACACAAGTTCCTAAAATCATGAGTGCCAACATACTTCTGAGCTGCATAATTCATCCTTACAATATCTAAATCAGCACAAGGGAAAAAATAGCAGTAAGTGTGTTCAAGACAGCTGAACCTAGCACTGAAGCTAGATTCTACAGGGGCCCAGGCCAGTACACGGATGTCTGGAGGGAGTACCCAATTGAGAATGTGGGTATAACAGATCTCTTTGGCATCATCACTGACTTCATCTTTTAAATTAATATCTTTTGAATCTTTGCCCCTTGGAAACTGAGACCACAGGTCAAGAGAAATCACCTGTCCAAAGGCACTAACTCCTTTGTCCGTTCGCCCACACCGGTGATAGTTGGATATGTGTCTGCTTTCTATCAGTCTAGTCTTGGTCAGAGCCTCAAACAGTTTCTCTTCAATGGTATTGTCTGTGTTTTCCTGACTAGCAAAGCCCTGGTATCCCCAGGCCAGATAGGCTATTCTTAGAGCTACATGTCTTTGGCTGTGGGCACTGAAATCAAATGCATGCTAAGCTTTTCCAGGTCCTGAAGAATTTTCTTTAATGTTTGGGTCTTTGATATTGTTGGATTGTTCTTTTTTAAGTCCTTGTACTTCCTGCTCCAGTTTTTGTACTCTTTTTAGAAGTTTCTCAATCTGATTTCTGTCAGTGTCTGTTTCAGCCATGGTATGACAGCCCCAGGAATCAATGAATCATACAGTTCTTTGGAACGCTGGCTTCACCACCTTCTGTGAAGCAGGAAGTTGTTGTTCTATGAACAATTTTCAAAATGGAGTTGGAAGCGCACAGAATTTTGAGTTGTGTTAAGAGTGACAAGGAAAGCAAGTTTATTGGGAGAGAGGAGAGTGAAGAGAGATGTACTTTACATCTCAGTAAGTGTCTCACACAGTATCCAATAAACTTGTTACATTCAACAGCCTTAATTTCTATCATGACTTTATTTGGGGTGGAAAGGGTTAGGATGAAAACAAATAGCAAAGGATTTTATTTTGAAGTTTATTTTGGTCAATACCAGGACAAAGACAAAGGAACAACTAAAGACAGAATCTACAGTAAGAGTTTGTTACAGACAGAAGCCAGAACAGGGGTGATCAAGTTAATTATAAACATGCAGAATTTTATCTAAATCATGGTCAGCACATTGCCTTTGTACTGGGTATAGAGGACATGGACTTGGCCCTCACTAAGCTACAGGCCCATAGTAAGAGTGCTTTCTATTATGGTTGTGAGAATGGGGGGAGGCAAGGAGGTGGGTGAGAACAGCTTAGCTTTCTAATGGGTCTTTCTTTGACAATAATGAGGAGTACTCAGCGGGCCTTTAAGCAGAGCTTATAAATTGGAGGGATGTTGCCAAAGCCTGAGATCCGAGGAGTGATGTCAATGTCAGCAGGTGGCACCAGAGAATGTAATGAGAAGTTCTGAAGGATGGAGGTGAAGTAGAGGAAGAGTTCCATGCGGGCCATGCTTTCCCCCAGACAGACACGCTTTCCTGAGGACACAGAAAGGATTGGAAGGGAGGGTCACACCTACAAGATGATGAAGATGTGGGGACTTACTGGCATGCCCACCCCTCTGAGCCTTAGCTACTTGATCACTATCTCAGGTCATGACTGTATCTACCTTATAGGGTCATTATCAAGACTCAGTCAGTTCCTACAGTTAGTGCCCATCTAGGGTCTGCAATTAGAGGGTCTCAACACGTGGCAGCTATTTCTTTGATGGTTCAGATTCCACTGAATCCAAGGTAAAAATGGTTCTGAAGGATCTATGAATTTCAAAGCTGTGTTCATTTCAATTCCTCAAAGGTTTTTCAAATGCCAGACATCAATGAGAGAAAAAAGTGAAAGCTCATGTTTAAATAGTGCTTATTGTTTGTTAAAAACCTTTTCAAAGGTCTAAAGAGGTTAGTCTTGTACAGGTACAAGGACCCAATGATATATGTAAATGTATTGTTTACCTAAAATGTACTACTAAAAGAATTTAAGGAAAAAAGAAAGATTAATCTCCATTTCACAGATGAGAGCTGGAATAATTCACTCTGATTCCAGGTTCCACATGGCTTTCACTTAAAATCCCATTACTCTAAGACAGTGATGGCAAACCTCCTAGAGACAAGTGCCTAAACTGCAACCCAAAACCCACTTGTTCATCTCAAAGTTCCAACACTGCAATTAAACCTGAATTCTGAGGTTTTAGTTTAGGAAAAAACAACTCATACATTAACATCTTTTGTCTTAAAAGAAAAAGCAAATAACATATGTACTATAGGTTTGCCACCACTGCTCTAAGACCGTGCATCCTGAAACTACTGGGATAAATGTGCCTTGCTACTTGCAGGGCATTCCCAAACTAGAAATGCTTTGCATATTTTTAAATGTTTGTAAAAGAATTTTTAAATGATATTTTTTGATATGTGAAATTAAATAAAATTTAAATTTCAGTGTTGATAAATAAATTTTGGTGGCTCATATACAAGATAATTTATTTAATTGTTGTCAGTGCAATGGTAGAGATGAGTAGTTCAGATGAGGATCACATGGCTACCAAAGCCTAAAATATTTTGTATCTTTTTCTAACCAAAAAAGGTTGCTGATCCTTTGTTTTATGCTGTTATTGCTCTAACAGTTTTTTAAATCATTAGAGTCAATGAAACTAATACCTCCTTATACTGGGATTCTAGGATTTTGCGATTCTACGACATTACCTTCAACTTCTCCTTTCTCATTTGGACTTCAAAAGATAGTTGTAGCACTTATCTGGGAGGTGGGGTAACTTAGAGCATGGACACCTACCAGAAGAAAAGGGTACAAAGGCTTCATTCTTCTTGAAGCATCCTTGCTCATCCAGGAAATGTTGGGGATAGAAGGCATCTGGGTAGCAGAAGTATTTTGGGTCACGGAGGACTGAACCAAGCAAGGGATACACATCTGTGCCCTGGAATGATGATGGAAGTAATTAGGAGAAATCAGTGATGCACAAAAAGGGTGGAAAACCAAGAGAGAAAGGTGAAGGAGTGGCCACAAGTATGCAAACCTACCTTGGGGAGGAAATACCCCCGGAACTGAGTGTCCCGGATGACGATATGGGGGACACCCATGGGCACAATGTCGGTCAGTCTCTGTATCTCGTGGATGACGGCATCCGTGTAGGGCATCTTAGACCGGTCATCCACACTTGGGATCCGGTGTGGTCCAATCACCTGGTTAATCTCTTCATAGATCTTAGCTAGATCAGAAAACATAGCAGAAAAGATGGAGAGATTATCCCTATCTCCAGTAGAAGAGATCTCTGAGGATGAAGGCTGTGTGTGTTTTTATTGCTTCTTTATAAACTGGTAAGTCTGTGGTGTTTAATAAATTCTTAGCAGACAATGGGAGGCACACAACCTTGAGCCTTGAATGTCAGACAGGACATCTGGTCTTTACTTAAAAACACCAAAAAGCCATGCAAGGCTTGTTTGAACTTCACTAGGAAAGAGAATAGACAATTTTGAGATTTTCTTCAAGGGAGAAATTAGCTCCTCATTGGAATTACTCAAACAGACCAGACTGAAATTTACTAAAGATGGATTCTATTTGCTTTTGGTGTTGCATTTAACCAAACAACCATCAAAGATAACCACCTCCTACCTTCTAAAACCTGTGAATGTCATGTATGTAGGATAACAAATGGACTTTAAAGCAGATAACATTAAGAATTTTATGAAGAGGGCCGGGGATTTAGCTCAGTGATGCCACTGCCTGCCTCACAAGCTCAAGGTCCTGAGTTCGATCCTTGGTACCAAAAAAAATTTATGAAGATATTACCCTGAATTACCTATATTGACCCTAATAAAGTCATTTGTGTCTATATAAAACAGAAGCAGGATTAGAGTTAGGAGATGTGACAAGAAAGCAAATAGAAACGCTTTAAGCAGAGAAAAGATGCTATACTACTGGTTTTGAAGATGCAAAAAAGAGTCATGTGGCCAGGCATGGTGCTGCACATCTGAAATCCTAGCACTGGCGAGGCTGAGGCAGGAGGATTGATGAGAATTCATAGCTAGCCTGAACTGCATGGCAAGACCCTGTCTCAGCAAACAAACAAACAGTCATGCACTCTGAAATACAAGGAATGCAACCCCCCAAAACTGGAAAAGGCCAGGAATTAGATCCAACCTTAGTTTCAGCCTAATGCAAGCCTTCTGAACTTCTGACTCCAGTATAGTAAGATAATAAACGTGTTGTTTAAAATACTAAGTTTCAGCAGTCATAGGAAACATATACAGTCACCAGGTTAGATTAAATTAGTGGCCTCTCATGTCAGACATTTTAAGATTACATATCCTAAAGTTCTGAAGGGTGAAAAGTCAGAGCTTTGTGATTCTAAATTTTCAAGATGATGTCTTCTCGCCTGTTATGAGTAGGAGGTACCAGATTAGTAAATAGTTCATGGTGAACTGACCTTCCACTTCAGGATACTTCATTAGCAGCAGGAATCCATAACGTAGTGTAGAGCTCACTGTTTCTGTGCCAGCAAAGAAGAGGTTGAGAGTGGTGAGGACCAAGTTCTTGAGGTTGAATTCTGTGTGGGGATTATTTTTTTCCTGAAAGTGAGGAATGTAGTAAACAGAATTATCCTCTTGTGTCTCTATTTTCTTATGTTGTCTCTGAATGAAGGGTAGGCATTTGTGAAAATACAATTGATGAGTAAACAAAGTCTAGGAGAGGAAACAACCAGAGCAAAATTCATGAGGCAGGAGTGTTCTTTGTGTATTAGAGAAGCAGCAAGGCAGAGGCCAGTGTAGTTGGAATGGATGAACAATGAGTAGAATGAGAAGAGAAGAAAATGAAATCACATGTAAGATGTTAAATTTGGGTGCAATTTTAAATCACCAAGTGCTAAATTTCTCTAATAAAAAACATAAATTTCTAAAGCTCCAAAATTCTGAGAATCAATGGTACAGATATATTAAACATATAAATTTCCACATTTCTAAGGCCTTAAACTTTTAATATTAAAGTTTAAATTGGAGTTTAAAGACTAAGTTAAGCCCCCGCCTCCATCCCAGGCTCCTAGGGCAGAGAAGCTCAGCCTGTCCCAGCACCCGGGAGCTCCCCGCCTCCATCCTGGGCTCCTAGGGTGGGGAAGCTCAGCCGGTCCCAGAACCCAGAAGGAAGCTCCCCCGCTGCCATCCCAAGCTCCTAGGGCAGAGAAGGTGAGCCATGTGGGTGCCAGAAGCACTCCTTCCCATGGAAATGAGAAGACACGTAAACAAGTCTCAAAAACAGACTTCTGGATCACCTACGGCAACCCCAAAGGGAAACGGGATGGAACAATCTGATACTCAACCACCTGGACTCTCTGAACTGGCAATAAAGGAGGATCTGGGAAAAATGAAATCAGAAATAATTACTCAGATAACAGCAAAGATTTTGCTCATGGTGCAAGGCTTGATTAATAAATCTAGAGAGGATGCAGATAAAAAAATAGA